AGTCCGGAATGCCGTTCTTCCAGTTTGTCCCTGGGATAGTATTGCAGGTAGGCCACACCCCTGGGGAAACTCCCCCTAGGCCGACCGGCCGCTTAGAACGCAGTCATGTGATCCATCATGGGAACCACCACTCACAACTGGAGTCCAGCCAAGTTGACACATCTTCAACTATCACACTAGTAGTGATGGATAAGGATTCTAATTTACCCACATCCTCACCAACATTTGTTATTCTGGTTTTTTTTTGTTTGTTTGTTTGTTTGTTTTCTTTTTTTAAATCTTAGCCATCCTAGTGGTGGTGAAATGGTATCTCAGTGTGCTTTTGATTTGCATTTGTCTGATGGCTAATGATGTTGAGCATCTTTTCATATATTTGGTGGCCATTTGAATGTCAGCTTTGGTGAAATGTCTATTCCTATCTTTTGCCCATTTAATGATTGGATTATTTGTCTTTTTCTTGTTAAATCCTCGAAATTTTATATATTTTTGTTGTTAGATTCTTATTGAAAATATGGTTTCCAAAGATACTCTCCTGGTCAGTAGCCTTTTCACTTTATTGGTAAAGTCTTTTGATTATGCTGCTTTTTTAAAGCATAACTAAGATTAATCCACTATGATCTATCGAAGAATCCTAGAATAAAGGAATGGAAAAGTTTCTTTTATAGTGTATCTCTGTCAGGAATGAGAAGTTGTGACTAGAACCTGGCTTCTCAGGCTCCCTGCATTGCTCTGACCAAGTAGAGCTATTCTGAGTTTTGCCCTAAACATAAAATGACATTAATATCCTAATCTGGAAAGGGATATGTCATGGTAAAAGGGAAGGAGCCTATGGTTTAGGCATCAAGAGACTTGATCCTAGTTTTCCTTTACCCATTCAACAGGTGTGCTTCCTTCACTTCTCTGAGCTTCAGGTTTCTTACCAGTAAAGGTACCATAAAACAGAACATGTTGAAGATGCTTCAATTCTTCATAAAAATTTTAATATGTAAAGGAAGACTGGTTAGTAACAACCATTTCCATTCTGGAATTATCACAATACTAAAACATACCTCATTTTCTCAGAATTTTAAATTACATAATGATTTATTAGAGTTTAAATGAAGTAGTTGCAATGAAAGAAAATAACATTTTAAATCTGTGAATTTGGTTCAGAATGATAAACCTCTGTATGACTATGGTTTATACTTTTTTTTTTTTTAAAGGAAAGAAATATGTTTCTATCAAAAACTAAAATTTATACACTGTGTTCCAGAGGTTGAAGCCTGTCATGAATTGAGGGAAGGGGTTTGAGTTAGTATTTGACTTTGGAAATTAATTAATTTTCTCCAAAGAATTTCAAGAATTGTGTGGTTATCTGTAATCAGGCAAATTTAGAAGTAGTGAGTGGAATGTGAGCTCTGGTGGCATAGTGGGTAAAGGAATTTGTTTAGTAACCAGAAAGTTGGTGGTTCAAATCCATTAGCTTCCCCATGGAAGGAAGGTGAGGCAATCTATTTCCATAAAGATTTACAGCCTTGGAAACCCAATGGAGTTCATGAATCAGAATTGACTCTATGGCAGTGAGTTTGGTTTTGATTTAAGTGGAATGTGATGTGTCAATGACTATACAGCTATAAAGTGGTAAAGTAAAAGAGGGAACACCTACATCAAGTTATCTTTTTCACCCACTGGACCATGATTCTTAATGGTCACTTATTCTGTGTGTTTGCTATTATGTCTGTACTGAATTCATGACTATCATTCAATACCTAGAGAACTGGGCAATTTTGAAGCAGCCACTGAGAGCTTTCAGAAGGCACTGTTGCTCAACCAAAACCATGTGCAAACCCTGCAACTCCGGGGGATGATGCTTTATCATCATGGAAGCTTACAGGAAGCCCTGAAGAACTTTAAGGTAAGCATCTAATGAGAGGCACTGCTACTAGGCATTATGCCACCAGAGCTCCATTCTTTGACAAGGTTTAGTAAAAGGAACAACGGGAGCCAAGAATGGTATTTATTCTTGCACAACACCAACAATGATTTTCCTTCATCTTACAGACTCAGTTGCAGAATATGTGTTTGATGTAATTTAACCTGGAGGGAAAACTTTTCTAATTCCAGATGAAATAATAAAGTGCTTAAAAGTTTTCTTAAATTCTGTTGATACTAATACAGCATTTTCTTCTTCAATGCCTCAGCGGTGTCTACAGCTAGAGCCATATAATGAAGTGTGCCAGTATATGAAAGGACTCAGCCACGTTGCAATGGGACAGTTTTATGAAGGGATAAAAGCACAAACTAAAGTTATGCTAAATGATCCTCTCCCGGGTCAGAAGGCTAGCCCAGAGTATCTTAAAGTAAAATATCTCCGAGGTAAGTCAGAAAATCGCAGGATCATTTAATTTTCATGTCCAAAGCTGCAGAAATCATATAACTTTACTGTCTTATGTTTCATATGAGATAAACTGGGTCTCAAAACCAAAACACCAAACTCATTGCCATCGAGTCAGATCTGACTCATAGTGCCCCCACCTTGAGTTTCCACGGCAGTATCACTACGGAAGTAGATTGCCTAATCTTCCTGCCAAGGAGTGGCTGGTGGGTTTGAACCGCCAGCCTTCTGCATAGCAGACAAATGCCTTAGGCACTATGCCACCAGAGCTCCCCACTGAATCTCAAAGAGGCAAGTAACTTATCCACAGCCACTTCTTGGTTAGTGGTGATGCCTGGACTAGATAGAATCCTAGTCTTCTGAAGTCTAGTCCAATATTTTCTCTGTATTTCCTTTATTTTTTCTTCCTAAAGTTAAAATTTTATTTGAGTTGAAAACCATATTTTGAACTAAATATGACAATCATCTGGAATATTTATGTCTAATCACAGATAGTCTCATACGGGATTGTCAGGAAAGTAACCTTTTATGTGGTTTTTACTGTTGCAATGTGAGCTTGGTATCTTTGACCTATTACTCTCTTATATCAGAATTCTCATATTAAATTGGGATGTAGAAGAAAGCAAATCTAAGGAGTTACATTACTCATAATATTACTCATGTTTCTTCTACCATTCATAAAGAAACTTTTGTTTTTCTTATGAATAAGGCCCAGATCTTTACTTGTATTACTTCTTTTTCCTTTGTTATCTTTATTCTTGTATATCAGAAAAATAACAGAAACCACGTGTATAATTTCAAATTTCTAATAGCCGTGTTAAAAAGTTAAAAATACATTAAATTAATTGTAATAATAGACTTTAATCCAGTATATCTAAAAACCAGTTTAAAATGTAATTAATATAAAATCGCTGTCAACTAAATACTTTTTTTTTTTTTTGTACTATGTCTTCAAAATCTGATGTGTATTTTATACTTATAGCACCTCTCAATCTGGATGCTACATTTTCACTGGACATATATGATCTGAATTTAAGTTTCATAAAATTCAGTTCAAAACGTAGATACATATGTTCAAGTTGTTTCAAACATACTAAAGTTTTCTAAAAATTTGAATGTTAATTTTTAAATCTAAATTAATTAAAGTTAAATAAAAGGAAGAATTTAGTGTCTCAGTCCCTCTAGCCACATTTTAAGAACTTAGTAGCCACATGCTATTGGACACCTATTGGACAGTGCATCTCTTTACTCTAAATTATCATTCCCATTTTTCCTTGGTTTAGTAGAGTTTGGACTTGTAAAATGTAGAGTGAAAGACAGGGCAGCCCATGTCTAGAGTTTTTTTACACTGTTTGAACAGCGATAAGCAGCAGTCAGTCAGCCAGCTGGTGAAATAGTATACCAAGTCATTCAATCTTGATCACTTGATAGAGAACTAGGTTCAGTCTGATACTGAACTTGGATTCTCAGGCTTAGGAACTGAAGCAATGAGATCTTTGGTATGCTGCATGGTAAGGTGGTTTAAAGTAAGCCAAAGTAGGCCCAGATTGACTGCTTTATTTTTACCCTGGCAACTCAAACCAGTGGCCAGTTATTCTTTTTAGCTTACTAAAGTTTAGAATGTCCTTTTAAATTTTATGTAATTGAATAAGTTTGTTATGAAGTATTTGTATGGCAGCTAGCTACAAAAAAATGTTTCTCTAGCAGTGTTTCACTGTGTCATATCTCATTTTCTGCAGAGTATTCTCGATATCTTCATGCTCACCTTGATACCCCCCTTGTGGAATATAACATTGATATGGATCTACCTGGAAGCTTTAAGGATCATTGGGCTAAAAACCTGCCCTTCCTCATAGAAGACTATGAAGAGCAGCCAGGGTTGCAACCTCACATAAGGTAAGTGCCTTAAATGAAGAGGCACTTTTTTTTCTTTTTCAAGACTGAGAAGTATGATATTTCTTGATCAATAAATTGCTTTCTGTCCATGTTTCTGATGAATTTCTTTTTGGAGTTGATATGTCTGAACCCATTTCTTTTAATTTTTAGAGTATCTTGAAAGTTACCTTTATATATCATCTTTTCTTTTAGCCTGACCTAATTTGTTAGTTTTGGGCAACTTTCACACTACAAGTGTACTTATACTGCTTGGTAATCTTTGATATACATTATTCTTTTACCATGCTTTAAACATGTTATTTAACATTCTGGCAGTTTGAAACTCTACTATTGGACTATTACTACTGCAATATGACAAAACATATATTCTAAAGGACTGTTCTGCTATAAAACCATTAAATCTATTAATTCCTGGAAGCCTATCAATACACGCTAGAGTAATAAGTAGTTGTTGTTGTTGTTATTTGCCATCGAGTCGGCCCCCGATTCATAGTGACCCCTCCTTGGGTTTCCGAGGCAGTATCACTACAGAAGTAGGA